AATTATGCCAATGAATAAAATATCAAGTATTGATAAAGCTTCCAAAATTTACACCATGACTGTGTGCAATTTCATAAACTCCATTTATTATAATATAGTTTTTATATCAATAAATTCTCTTATTGTGGGCGCGGCGTCGCCGGCTGGAGACGGTAGAAAAGTTGGGGTGGCGCTCTATGGTTCATAGAGAGTGGTCTGAAGGAGGGGATGGAGGGGTGAGAGATGAAGGGGGGGGGGGTCGAGGCTTTCAGACAGTCTTATACTGTCAAACAACCCAGTTCCCAACTGTTGGATCGAGTGAGATCAACGGCTCATGTTGGGGGAACTGAAACGGGGTCGTTTGCTCATTGAGTGGGCGAACCGGGTAAAGGGACGCGGGTTTGGGCCTATTTTGACGGGTTTCAAGAGACATAACATTTGGGCCTGAAGGAATTCCGACTAAAATGGCCCAAAATCGGATTCTTTCACTCCTTTTGGTTCTTTTTTCTTTTCTTTTTTAATTTCAAAATTCTTTTCCTTTTTCAAATTAAAAAATAAAAACCTAAATTAATTCTAAAACCCAAATTATCCTACCAAATTAGGTTAATTACTAAAAATAATATTTACAACAACGAATTAATTACCAAATTAAAAGAAAACTACAAAATTCGAAGGTAAAAATTATAAATGCAAAAATGAGTTATTTTTTGTGATTTTTCCATTTTTGTAAAACAAACTAATTTACTAATTAATCTAAAAATGTATGATTCAATCCTAAATGCAAATGCAATATATTTTTGTATTTTTTACGAATTAAATAAGATTAAACATGCACACAAAAATGCAAACAATCAGAAAAATTCTACAATAGTTCCTAAAATAACAAATAATTAAAAGAAAAAATCTAATTTTTGGAATTCTGTAGGAGTAATTCATGTGAGGTAAAAATTACGTGCTCACAACGGCATTTTATGAAAACATAATCTTCAGGAATGATGATGTCAAGGTGAAACATATTCATTCAAGTGATAAAATGGTTGATTTGTTTATCAAATCTCTACCAATGATCTTTTGAAGATGGTTCACAAGATTGTGATGCGAAGGTTCAAGGATGTGAATTTATGCTCTCATCAGGGGGAGTTAATGTGCGTTGCACTCTTTTTCCCTTGCAAGGTTTTGTCCCACTGGGTTTTCCTTGCAAGGTTTTTAACGAGGCAACCAAAAGGCGTATTGTTAGATATGTGTACTCTTTTCCTTTACTAGATCTTTTCCCACTAGTTTTATTTTAGTTAAGGTTTTAACGAGGTATACTATCTGTTGAATAGACATTCAAGGGGGAGTGTTATAAATAGAATTTTATTTATGGTGAATGTCTATATTTAGAGAGATTCTAGGGTTTATTACTTGGTGGATAAGTCAACGTCTCCCTATAAATAGAGGGTTCTATTCCATTGTAATTCATCCCAAAACAATAAAAATTTTCTCACTATACTTTTCTCTGCAATACTTTTCTTCTTCTTTTATTGTTTTATAACATTTTCCACCTTTTCTCTTTTTTCTCTCTTTTCAGAATCTCTCTCTTGCCGTCCACCATTCAACGGAAAAAATGGTCTCTCTCTCCTTTAGCTATTTTCGGCGCCGGCGAGATCAACTGACCCGCTACCCTCTAAAAAATAATCTCTTTCTCCCTCCTACTATATCCTCCGGCGACCTACCAAAAAATATCTGACACCACAAAAAATCAGATCCATCTGAACACCACCTGAAGCCACCGAACCCAAAAACTATTTGACCACGATTCACACCTTCATTTTTACCCATAGTCAGATCCTACTCAAATATATCAAAATGCCGATGAGCACCACTGGCCCCAAATATGGTAGATCGGGAAAACACACACACATAGATCTGTACAAAAATCAGAAAGACAGGATGGAAGTGACTCCACACCGGTATCTTGCCGGAAGTTGCCCGGCATTTGTCTCCATTTGTAGCAACGTCTTGATATCTTCACACATTTATTTTGTCTTGTTCATTTACTGTTGCTTCTTCGAAGCTCCGATTTCGGCCCCTGTCGTTGTGCAGTTACCTTGTGATTTTTGGTCAACTTTGTTTCACTTGATACTATATTACAGTTGAAAAGTTATCTACTTTACGTTGGTTTATAGCACTTTCTTTCACACTATTTTGCCGGTTAATTTCTTATTGGACATGGTTGATTTGAATAATACTACACAATTTATTAACCAAACTAATGGAAAGAGCCAGCAATTTCAGTTCTTGAGTCCATTTTGTTGTAAGAAACAGTTGAAAACTAGCGATTTTAACAAATGAAGACTAGCGATTTTTTGAAATGTAGGAGAAAGACGGTTGGCAAAAGTTGAAAATGGTGGCAGGAGATTGTCTCAATATGGTTCAAGGTGGAGAACGATTATTCAAGGCGCCGCCGCAAAGTATTAGATACCCAATTCTTTCATGGGTTTAGTGGTTAAGGTTGCTAATTGTGGAGGCAAGGAATTCAGATGTTCGGGGAAAAAAGAGAGAAAAGAAGAAAAGTAAAAAGAATAAAAATTTAGAATTATTTAATTACGTGGCATTTTTGTTAAGGGGGACCTTTGCCTAAGTGGACAGCCGTTAGGGTTGAGGGTATTTTTGTTTACTTTCTTAACGGTAGGGATTTATTTGGACCGATAGTAGAACTAGGGATAAACGTGGATAATTTACTAAAGTAGAGGAACAAATTGGACCTTTTCCCCCCTTTAACTTGTACATTATTCTTATTGCAACCATTTTATTACCCTCAACATTTTTTACTCTGTCTAAAGCCAACTTTTTTTTTCAGGGAACAAAATTAAGAAAAATTAATTAAAATATTAAAGTTAAAAGAGAAGAAAATTTAATTGATATGACTTATAATACAGAATACCAATTATTAAAAAAATTAGTAAATTTTTAACAAATAAGGAAAACTTCAGTTTGTACTTTGAACAAATTTAAAATCAAATTTTATATTAAATATGATATTATTTTGATTATTGTAGAATGCTAACGGTTAAATAAATATTTATTAAAATTCACAATATAAAAGTATACAAATATGACGAAAAGTATTTGGAATATGTTTTGAGGGGCAGTTATGTCTAACCATGTTTATGCAAGTATTTAAAAATTCTTCTATTGCTTACTATGGTTTGCTATATATTAATTTTACATAGAATAACACCAAATAGAATACATAATTAATACAAATACTAGTTATCGATAGGTTCAAAAAATATACTAAACAAAAGATTGGTAATGCACAAAGCTAATACTCGCGCATGTTTACTATGAGCCCGTTTGGATTAGCTGATTTGAAGTAGCTGATAGGCATTAGGTGATAATAAGTACTTTTAAGTGCTGAAACTGATTTAATAAATAAGCAGTTACGTGTTTGGGTATAAGTGCTGGAATTGATAATAAGTTGCTGCAGTATTTGATAAAGAAGTGCTGATAAGCATTTTTTCTGTTAAAATGACTTAAATAACCTTAGAACTGTTTACACTTATAAGGGCGTAATTTCTTCAAAATTTTAGATTCCAGATCGATTCAAATACAAAATATTCTATTTTTCATTTTATTTTAAATATAATTGTGGTTAGATAAGATAATTTTTATTATTAATATAATTTATTTTATGATAAGCATATAATTATAAGTTAATAATTAATAAATTGACAAAAGTTTCTCAGTAAAAAATAAACCTGAACAGGACAAATTATTTGAAGAGAAATAAACATTGTCTTCATCACCACAATACTTAAAAAGCAATACACTAAAAATTTGATAGTGTCCTCGTTTATTACATACAATTCAAAGATTAATACACAATCACATAGATATAGATATGCAAAGGAATAGAGAATTTGCTTATCTTAAATAGTCAATGAGAATTGCAGGCTTGAAGAGGTGGGGGGGGGGGAGGGGGGGGGGGGTTTTAGGATGAATACTTGAGGAAGTGAGTATCGATGTAGGAGTTTTGTTCTAAAAAGAAATATTTTAAGGATAAAAAAGTAAAAATCTTGGTCAAACTTAAAGTGCTTATAAGCTAAAAATTCATAAGCTAGGGGTAACCAGCTTATGGCTTTTGGCTTATTTTTTACTTATAAGCACTTGGCTTATAAGCACTTTTAACTTTACCAAACACGTAGATAAGCCGAAAAGTGCTTATAAGCTAGTTTGACCAGCTTATAAGCTTAGCCAAACACCCTCTATGAGCCCGTTTGGCTTAGCTGATTTAAAGTAGCTGATAAGCATTAGGTGCTGATAAACATTTTAAGTGCTGAAACTCATTTAAAAAATAAGTAGTTAAGTGTTTGGATAAAAGTGCTGAAATTAATAATATGCAGCTGAAGAATTTGGTATACGAAGAGTTTTGTTTTAAAAATAAGTATTTTAGGGATAGAATAGTAAATATTTTGGTCAAACTTAAAGTGCTTATAAGCTGAAATTTGATAAGTTGGGGGAGAGCAACTTATGGCTTTTGACTTATTTTTGGCTTATAAGCACTTTTAGTTTTACCAAACGCGTAGATAAGTCAAAAAGTGTTTATAAGCCAGTTTGACCAGCTTATAAGCTTAGGCGAACACCCTCTATTTGTTAGATGCTATTTCGGAGAGGCAAATAGATTTTAGCCGACTATTGTTTCAAATATTTGAATATGTTTAACTACAAAAAATAATACTTTTTTATATATTTTTAGTGTAAAAATATATTTAAAACTTCAAAAAATTAATATTGAAGCTAACATTAAAAATTGGATGTGTCTTATTGATTTTATCATCTTTTTAGCCAAAAAGAATAATGTAAAATTCTCTATAATAAACATGTAGATTGTAGGGGTCCGTCCCTTTGAGAAAAATCTTCTTCTTTCACCGTCAGCAATTAGCCCAAATCCAACCCAAATTCGTCATCTTTCTTCGCTTAGTAATCGTAATGGAAAGGTAAAAGTCTACACAGTTCCAAAATTCAGAAAATATCCCTAATTTTTATCCCAAATTTGGAGTAAAATTAAAATTAAGTTGAAACCCAATAATGCTTACAGCTTAAGGAAACACTACGGTATTCGTCGACTTTGATAGTTTGTACGCGTCCCATTCGGCTTTATATACATAGCGGAGCAGTTTCACTTTTGTGCTTTTTCTATCTAACACATCTTCCGATTTTTCTTTGGTACTTCGTCATCATCTTTGTCTTTGATCTCCCTTTTTTTAATATTAAAAAAAAGAAAGAAGAGAGAACTATTTTTTCTTAATCCAAAATACTACCAAGTTTGGTTTAATTATTGTCATATTATAAACTTCGCTCTTTTTGTGGTTTTAGGTAAGTGATAATTCATACAGATATTGAAGATCTGAATCTAAGTCTATTGATGGATTCTTTCTTCAGCAAAGGTTTCAAAGCTGCTAAATGGTGACCCCTCAATTTCTCCCATTTTTGCTATTTTTTTTCCCTTTCTTTTTTTGTTGTTGTTTTGGAATTATATGATTTGGGTCTTTTTTAGTTTATGATGTAAATTTGACGAACTTGAAATAATGGGGTTTTGAAATTTCCAATTTTTAAGAAATTTGGGAGAAAAATGATGTCTTTCCAATTCTTTTAGCAATTTTGCTGATTTTGTTATACTAATTATTTTGCAGTAAAACCCTATTGAAATTGACGATTCCTCGTATCAAACTACTAAGGAATCGTAGGGAGATGCAGCTGAAGCAGATGAGAAAAGAAATTGCTAAGCTACTAGAGACTGGTCAGGAAGCTACTGCTCGGATTCGGGTATGTACTGAAACTTATTTTCTGGTGCTGATGTAATTTATGCAAGCCTGTGAGTTTGTTGCATTTAAATACTGAAAGGTCATATTTGTTTTGGTAGATGGTTTGTCGCATATTGAGCTTGATTCTGATGTTTTCTTATTTAGGTAGAGCATATAATAAGAGAAGAGAAAATGATGGCAGCACAGGAGATAGTCGAGCTATTCTGCGAGCTTATATCTGTTCGTCTTCCAATTATCGAAGCACAAAGGTAGTGTGATACTCCCTTGTGTTAATGTTTTTGAGATTCGATGTTGTGTGTATATTGATGTTTTGGAGATATTCTATATTGTGGACACAATTGCAGTATCCTAACTTGTTTCTTCAGTTTATAGATGAGCAACTGAATATGCTTATATTAGATCTTAGGATTAAGAATATACGGGTGAACGGTAAAAAATATAAGAGGGTTCCTATACGATGCATTAGATGATCACCTGTTGTGCTTTGTCAAAACTGCGTACAAACCAGTTAATATTTGTTTTTCTTGGTTATATTATTTGTTTGACACATTTTCAGATGGTAAATCCCAGTTGTGCGGTTGACCTACCTGTAGTATTGCATTTTATTCAACTTATGCTGGTCTTGTGTATTTTGTAGTGGTAAGATCCCTTTAACTTTACTCGTGCTGCAAATATGTCATTAATTGGGTTACACCTGATATAAAGACTACAAGAAAGTTAGCTGACTGAAGTTTAATTATAATCATAATAGTATAGCAGATCAGATCTTCCTCTCCATCTCTGTTGCTTGCCTCTCGCGTTCTCCATCTACTGCTGCTGCTGTTCTCAACATTTAGGGGTCGTTTGGTAGGGTGTATAAGAATAGTGCGGAATAAGGTATATTAGTAATGCATGTGTTAGTAATGCAAGCATTAGTTATACAGATATTATTTCTTATAAATTGTTTGGTGTGGTGTATCAAAAATTATAATGCATTGCATAAATTTTAAGAAAAATAGTTGTTTACAAAAATGCTCTCCATATTTTCTAGCTTTAAGGGACTTTAAGGAATTTTGTCTTTAGCCATACTAATGCATGCATTAATAGCCTTGGTATTACTAATATCATGGTTTTCTATGCATTACTTATACATAGGATAATACCAAGTATGATGTATAACTAATACACACAGGTTGAAAAAATGTACCAAACAAGGTATTAGTAATGCGTAGAGCTAATGCTTGCATTATTTTTTCTAATACCTCCTACCAAACGACCCATTAGTTCCATATCTCCTTCAGCACCAAACTCTCAGATCTACTGTTGTCCACCGTAAATGTTCTTTACTTCTTTTGCAAGAATAATCCTCACTATATTGAAAACATTTATGGAGCAACTTTGGTCCATTCCTAGAATCCTAGTCCTTTAGTTTGCAACTTACACGTATTAAAGAAAGTGTTGTCTTGTTTTAAAAGTATTGTAAATTCGGTTATTCAGGTTGTAGGTTGATTAAATGAAATTATGTGAATGTCTCCGAGCAGCACCACGTTTGGTGTTTCTACATAAAGTCAATTGTAGTGAAGGAAGGATCTAGTATGGGTTAACTTTCTGCTGAAATGACCAGTAAGTATGTGGGGAATACAGCTAACCAGCTCTTCTTGCTTATGTTATGGGAGGTGAAACCATAAAGAAGTTCAATCATCTATGATAAGACCATAAACCTGGATATCTAGTTCCTTGACGGAGCTAAAGTGTTTCATCTTCGATTTTTCTTTTTTTAAAAAGAAACAGAATCATGTGCTGGGTTTCTTTTTTTATTATCAATAACTGTTACCTTTGTCAAAAAAAAAAAAAAAAGAAGAAGAAGAAGAATGATGGAAGTATAATGCCGATGCTCCTACATTTTATCCTTGTTTTCCTGCTATACTTGGAACTAGCACTTGTTAGCTAGAATGAAACTACTAAGTGGACTTGTGAACCTGAGCTCTCATGTGATATGTGGGGTTTCTTTCCAATTCTTAATGTTCTAGACCACTAGTTAGATTTTGTTGAATGAATTTCTTAACTTGAATATTTGGATAAGAGCTGAAGCCCGAAAGGTTTTACAATGTCCAGGGAATGCCCTCTAGATCTGAAAGAAGCTATTTCAAGTGTATGTTTTGCTGCACCAAGATGTGCAGATCTTCCTGAACTGCTACAGGTTCAGATGCTGTTCGTCGGTAAATATGGGAAAGAATTCGTCGCTGCTGCTACGGAGCTCATGCCAGAATGTGGTGTCAACCGCCAGGTTACCTTTGATGTCCTTTATGACATAGCTAACCATGAAGAAGAACTGTTTCTTATTACTTAGTTTCTTCTTTCTCTCTTTTTTTGGGGATCTGACAGTTGATAGAGTTGCTATCTATTCGAGCACCTGCTTCTGATGTGAAATTGAAGCTGCTGAAGGAAATTGCAGAGGAAAATGAGCTAGATTGGGATCCAAGTGCTTCTGAGAATGAGCTGTTGAAGTCACATGACGACTTACTGGTATAGTTTAGTCTTTACTGGCTTGATTTTGTTCTCTCTTCAATCTTCATTATCTTTTCCCTTCGCTGTGCAGAATGGCCCCATACAATTCGTTAGTGGGGCTAAGGTCCCTCTTCCCAAGGAAAGGTTTGATGATTTGCAGCAACCTGCTTCAGAACAAGTCTCTGATAAACAAACAGAGTCTGAGTCTGACTTTGACTCGTTAGATTTTCCAGAAGTCCCTAAGCAGCCACTACGACCTAGCACCGGTGGAGTTTCAGCCCCTGAAATGCTTCCTTTCCCGGCCTCCGTACTATCTGACTCGGATGAGGAGATAGCTAAGCCTTCTGAAGATGCCGAGATCAAATCTCACAAGCAAAATGTGGAGCGAGATGAAGTCTTGCAAGAGAAGGTAGTTTCAAAAGATTTAGGATCACCTGAAACTTTATCTGCACCTGAAGAGGAGAAACAGTTTTTGCCATTCATGGTTCCCCCGCCAAAATCATCTCCATTCTCATCAACACAAAGTACCACAACCAAAAGTACTCAACCTTCCTCTACTACAAAGACCAAATTTGAGACTGACATAGATTTGCAGGATGTATTGGCTGCTGCCCAGGCAGCTGCTGAATCAGCTGAACGTGCAGCTGCTGCTGCTCGCTCAGCAGCTAGCCTTGCTCAGTTTAGAATCAGTGAGCTTACCAGGAAAAGGAGTGAAGAGGTGCCTGGAAGCCCCAGCGAGAACCCCTTTTATGCTGAGAAACAGGAACAGGAGTCTCATATCCTAGAAAAGGCTTCTTTTGACCTCCAACATCAATTGTCAAACTCTGATGGTATCCCCAGCCCACTTCATGGCAGCCCATCGGAGCATCAGGTGTCAAATATTCCTTCATATGATGATGCAACAGTAGGTTTTGCGTCCTCCATGTCCACTAATCATCATCCAGCTCAGGGCACCGCTCTTCACCAACCACAGAGATTGCCTTCCCTGGACGATGAAACATATTATTCATATCCTAACTTGTTTACGGCAAATGGCTCTAATCCCAGTTCTCGTTCACAGTCATTCAAAGATAATATTAGGCCCGGCCATGACAAGTAAAGTGGATTTCTCTACCCCTTCTGCTGGCTCTGGTTTGTTTGCTGGTTGTGAGTTTTCAAGATTCTTTACCCCCTTTTGCATGTAGTACATTCAAAGAATCCTTGTATATTAAAGAGTATGCAGTTCAAGAATTTGCATGTAAGAAATTCACTTCGGAGTAAAAAATAACGAGTTACATGATCAATGTATTACTGAGCCTTCTTGTACTCTGATATTCAAGCGTCAGTGACCAGGGCAGATTTAGGGGGGCAGAAGGGTGTTCACCCGAACATCCCTTTGCCGGAAAATTACTTTGTATATATAAGGCAAAATTTAGTTTGTACCTCTATATATTATATTTTGAATCCCTTGACACAACCCAAAAGCATAGCTCAATCGTCAAGGGGTTCAAAATCTTTGTTGGGTTGCTAGTTCAATTTCCACTGGCTATGATTTCTTCTAATTTTTTCAACTTTTTTTTTTTCTGAACCCCTTTAGCGGAAATTCTGCCTCTGCCACTAAGTGTGTTGCATGAAATTATCAGAATAGCCAGAAAGAGCCCCAAACTTAAGGCAAAAAGTTGCCGGACAAACTTTGCAAGTGGCCACTAGCCTATCACATTTATTCTTTCATTTGCAATACTATTAGGTGCCCATTCTACTCAATTACTATATATACATTGCTTAGATAATACCCTTCAACAATATATTTGTTGATGCCATAAGAGAACGTGAAGAGCTTTTATACTTTGATTTTAAAGTGCCAAAATCTTGTAAATAACGTTGTCAAATTGATTGCATTACCAATGTCGCTGGAAACAAGACTCAGCTTAACAGCTTACTGTTTAGGACAATTTTACCGCATATAGCCACTACGCCTATGTTCAACTTGTCAGGGCATAGATTTAGAATTCCTGTCAGTACAAATTCGTATGCACAATGTAACAAATACACCATCGGCTTACAACAGGAGATTTTGATTAAATTTCAGAAAAAAAAAACTTTCAAGATCAACAAAATTAGAGTTCCTAACAATTTGCTTTCCTTTTTACTTGGGTACAAGGGTCACCTTGGACCCGATAATTCAACTGCGTGTAAATTCTCTGTTGAGTCAACAATCCAATCGGAACCAGGATGTGGTGCAAGTTCCACCTCCTGGCGGAGAACTTCTACCTTCTGCCACTCATCCCATCTTTCAGCCAAGCCATCACCTTCAAGCATTCTCACCACTTCCGACATCTTGGGCCGATCCATTGGGCTGCTCTGCGTACAAAGCAACGCTACCTGGATCAGCTGCTCCACCTCAGCCTCCACATATTTGTTCTGAAGATCAGGGTCAACCAGCATTTCCAGTTTCTTCTCTTTAAGGAGTCCTTTGACCTGAAAACAAGGACCTCAGCAACATTAGTTTGAAATCCAGATCACAGACAAAAATTCCAGCTACAGGAGAAAAGGTTTATTGGAAAGATAAAGAAAGAGCACATTATTGTACTCGTGTCATGTTCACTTAAAGCAGACATGACTACGTACCCAGTCGAGCAACATGACATCATCATCATTCGCAAGCCGAGCAAGATCGAAAGCCCTCTGGCCAGTGATTAGCTCCAGAAGCATGATCCCATACCCAAAAACATCAGTCTTTTCAGACGACTTCCCTGTGGAAAGGTATTCTGGAGCTATATGCCCAATGGTTCCGCGCACAGCCGTAGTAACGTGTGTATCCTTGTAATCCATAAGTTTAGCCAAACCAAAGTCTCCAACAACAGCCTCAAATTCTTCATCTAGCAATATATTTGCAGCCTTCACATCACGATGGATAATCTTAGGGTCGCAATGATCATGCAAATACGATAATCCCCTGGCAGATCCCAGAGCAATTCGTTTTCGTGTTGGCCAATCAAGTGGTGGTTCAGATGGTGGCCGTTCTACAAAATAAACAGTTTTTTCAGAAAATGAATAATACAAAGAGTTATGGCAGAGAAAACGTTGATCCTGCAAAAGATGTTCTTGGTCCATTATTTAACATACCCTCCAGAACTAAAGAAAAGAACATGCAAAGGATAGTAATAGATTTCAGTAGGCATCACCTCTCAGGCACGATGCAACACTTCCATTGGCCATATAGGGGTAGACGAGCAGCCTTTCAGTTGGTGTCATACAGAAGCCACGCAGGCGTAGAAGATTTCTGTGCACTGCCATACTAATCATCTCAACTTCTGTTTGAAATTGCAACTCCCCTCCAGGGGTACGCTCCTCCTTTAGCCGTTTAACAGCCACCAATGTTCCATCTGCCAAGCGTCCTTTGTATACCTTACCAAATCCACCCCGACCCAGAATGTTTTTATTGCTAAAACTGTCGGTTGCAACTTGTAGCTCTCGGAGGGAGAATCTTTTCAGTTGACCTAAGTGAACTTCGGGATCCTCTTCAGCTGCAATAAAATTAAGCAAAGATAGTAATATGGAGCTGAAAAAATATAACATGCAAGAGAAAACAGAGACACATGCGGAAGTAAGTAGGGAATTGTGGCCTTAAGGTTGGACAGTGTAAACTGCTAACCTGGTACATCAAAGAAATATTCTTGTGGCTTTCTACGGCGCCACCAGGCAAATGCAATGGCAGGAACAGCAAATAGTAGAGCAGCACCAGCAGCTACACCTCCGGCAATTGCTCCAGTTGCACCATTTCCTCCTGATGTTTCATTCAAAATATTTATACATCAGTTCGACAATTCCTCGTTTCAAGAATTGCTGCTTACTCCACTGGCATAAATTTGATTAATTTCCTTCATACATTATCCACACTATTTTTAACACACAACTTTGGCCCTTCAACATCTAAATCACTCCACACAAAAAAAGGCAAAATTTTGGATGTCATTCAGATCTAAATTCCAGGACAGTTTTTACAAAGCAAAGATCCTAAAATCTTCACACAACCTAGCATAAATTTGATTAGTTTAGTTCAACATTATCTGTGCATTTTCAAAAAGGAAAGGTTTTGGCCCTATATCATCTTGAACCGCTTTCAAAACAGAAGCGCAGAAAATTTGCATCCCTCGCACAGATCAAAACTTTACTATAGAGCATGTTATGCAGTAAGACCTTCATATATTCTATGTCAAATACCACAGATAGCAACATACAATCGATGCATATAGACCAAAGGAAAAAATGTATGAAGACACCAGACTGCTTAGAAACTTTATGTAGCCTCACGCATCCAGTTTTTCATTAAAATCAAGTAACCAAAATGACTGATTAGCAAAGATGACTTTTGCCCTTCTGCCCCTTCTTCTGCCAGTATTTTTATAGCACAGATTCTAACTTGGATTACGAAAACAAAGAGAGGTAAGATGGATAAACTATAACTGGAATCACCACATTCGAGCAAGCCAAAAAATGAAAACATTCATCCCGACACATTTAGAGAATTACCTGGAGCAGAAATTGGTGGTGGTGGAACAAATGGAGGGGGAGGAGAGAATGGAGGAGATCCCGGGCAAGGGCGTCCAGTTACAGGACCACAAAGATCTAAATTATTTGCAAAACTGTAAATTCAAGTGAACTATGTTAGCAAATAGCAAAATTCTGAAACTGCCAGTCAATTGGATACTGAACCACCTTTATGGAATATACCTGATAGGCGTGAATAGAGAGAAGGAACCATTATCTGGAACAGCACCCGAAAGACGATTGTTTGACAGGTCCCTGTACACAGATGAGACAAGAAAAGAGCATGAGTATATGCAGTGGAAGGAAAGGTCGATGAATGAAAAGAAAAAACAGAGAGAATGACTCCAAGTAACAGCCACAAAAGAGCTAGTGTACTTACAACACTTGAAGCGATGAGATATTAGTCAGTGACATCGGGATGGAACCAGTCAAACTGTTGTTGTTGAGCCGACTACCCTTGCCAAAAGATACAAAGGTATACAGGAATGAGCTTATTTTTGCTTTAGTAAAATAATTGGAGAATAAAACAGAAGTGAAGGCTGACACTAAAATCATCTTAATATGATATTGTAATGTAGATATGAAACATTAAGAAACTACAAACCAAAACCAGTGCTTCAGCCGGAAATGAAGTTCTCAGTTCAGAACTATAACAAAAAACCTCAAATATTTCCCCCTGACAAACAAACACCTTTTGGACTGAATTATATCAGCCATCATTGGCAATACGGCAATAGTTCTATAGCCAGTCCCAAAATGAAATTATTGAGGTTACGAGCTGAGTCTGCATAATAACTCCAATTTGGAATACTTCTTAGGCAGTCCAGTCAAAAGAAAAAAAAGTCTGTGGAGCATTAAGCAAGAGAAACTTGAGCAGTGAAGGATGCATTATGAAGCATAGGCTTCTTAGTTTAAAATCTCCTTTAGAAAAGGATCACAATAAACGGAGAAAATAAAACATCAACGACTAAAAGGTGCTTAATTTAATAATATCAGGCCCATATAGATCTCAAATATCAGAGGAAGCGTAGGCCTATAGACTTCTTTTCCTTTAGATAAGGATTACAACAAAGGGAGAAAATAAAATGACTATATATACAACATCTGTTTAATTTGAATGATATCAGGTCCATGTAGTCCTCAATTACCTTCTACCATCAAAACTTAGCGTGAAACCTAATACTAATAGAGGTCATCTTATGTGAAACCTAGAAAAAATATCCGACTTTCTTTCCTTTTCTCGACATGCCGGCAAAGAGTAGGTCATACATCATCCATCTTGAGGCTGGATAGTTGATTTAACACAGACATTTGGCATCACAATATCAGAAATCTAAAGTAGGATAAAAGTACATACAGGAATCTCAATTTCATCAGCTTGCCCAAAGAATCTGGGATGGGTCCGCTGAAGCTGTTCAAGTAGAGATCCAAGCTGACCAGATTAGTCAAATTTCCAAGATCACTCGGTATTGAACCACTTATGTTATTACTATAAAGCTCCCTGTGAGAAGCAAAACAGAGATGAGTCAAAATCATACTGATGACACCCCCCCTAGGTTAATGGGTCAACCAAGATAATGATGCAAAATCCCCACATTCATCAAAAATGGCACGACAGCTGATTTTCGGTGCACGCCACAGTTAAAAGTCAAGAAATGAGAAAGTACTAGGAGATTCACGTTAACAATTATAACTATTTAGCAATGTTTTTGTCATGGGGGAATTTCTGTTACAAGCATTTTGCTTGATATAAACCTTTGTACTTCCATGTGCAGCAAATGATTACCTTGTCACATTTTAAACATCTTTGTATCTTATCAATCAGTTAATGTCTATACTTTTATTAACTTCAAAGTTCATCCCAACAGTGAGTTACATACACTTGGGAAATACATACTTAGTTATACGTACTGCATGAGCCTCAAGCAAAAGAGCACTAGTTATACCCATCATTAACACATCACCTGAAGCATGGGTTA